TTCTTCTTCTTCTTCTTCTTCTTCTTCTTCTTCTTCAAAGATGCTGTCCATCCGCTAATCAGTATGGTTGGTGAAGAGGGTAAACCTATGGGTGATGAGGATGGTTGTGTTAGGAGCAGTTAAATGGCCATAATGGCCGATGCGTTTTTCGCAACTGAGTCAGATGATGAGTCAGATCACCTGTCATGCCTTAGTGCAATCCCGCGTTGGTCCATCGCATCTACCACGCGGCCTACGCAAATAGACACCGTAGTTAAGGGATGAAAAAACTAGCTCCTCCTGGCATGAAACGCGACATGTACAGGTGATGCATCATCCTGTGGAGGCGGCAAGCTGCGATGCATTTAGTAGTCACGACCGATCAGCGGTCCGTTTGGTTGTGTGTAACGTTAGACGTATAGCGAACATAAATCAGTTTGAGAATCGTATACACATTTGCCTTAAGAGACGGGCTATTTCGTCAGGTGAGTGCGTGGATCCTACACTGCGTTGCCGCACTCGGGACAGCCAAAAAGAAGGAGGCGTGGAGCAAGACGGCTGTAGGCGGTGTGATCGCCAAATGTCCATCCGGTTACATCGAGTTGCCCGCGGTGTATAAAACTTTACACCATCATCTAAAAGACGGCTACCAAGGGTCGGGACATCGCTCGTGAGAACTTCGAATCTGTCTTGTAGTCCGGCGTGATCTGCCTGTATCTGCTGACCTGCAACTTCGTTCAGAGACCGCATTCTCGCAAGAAAGTTCAAGTGTCTTTCGCAATCACCACGTGAAAATGAGAAATTTGTCAAGCTCCTATTTCCATCTGGTATGCTTATTGCTTATTACTCAGCTACTGACACAGTTATAGGATATAGCAATATCAGTTGATTATGTAGCAGACAGGAGACGTCCCCTAAACCTCAAGATAGAGGTAGATACTGCAAAAAGTTAGCCTGATAACGGTAAATGGCACGATGCGAGATAAAAGCATGGTTAATCTTGAACTATTTCTTAATAGCGTTTCGTTAACCAAT